AGTTACCTCTTCCCTAATATTCTGCCTTTATTTAACAAAAGAATTATAGCAGTGCAAAGTTTTTAGCTCTCAAGGTCAGATTCCACAACTGTTAAACAAATCCCTTATAAAGTTCACAATGTTGCTTATTTTATAGTCTAGGCAGATATTTTATTGTCAGATAAGAAGATATATTAGAGAAATTGAGCCAAATATTCACAACATTCATGATACTATCCTTTGCCTTATCTCCAAACCAAATGAGGTAGAAGTTCTACACCAAATTTATTTGCTTTCTAGCAATAACCTAAATTTCATCTTGGTGTCCAGTACTAGAGGAACTGTGCTTTGACCTGCCACCTGATTTGTAGTTACTACTATTCACCTATGAGAACACTGGGCCAGACCATGTCAGACTTCATCATAAGACAAAAGGAATGATTCAAAAACTTCTGAGTAGAGCGGTTTAAGAGTCTATTCTTAATTAAAATAGGGAAAGTGAGAAAACAGTCTTTCTTGTTTACTCCTTTTACAATCTTGTATCAAAGCCATTTGTGTGACTTCTGAACTGTTCCTCACTTCATAGAGGATGGTGTGTGGTGGAAGACTTGAGGAAGAAAAATATGCATAAGAGAACAGGCACTATATTTGAAAGTCTGAGAGAGCTGTAAGTCCAAATCCCTTTGATTTCTTTATAAATTCCAGAATCTATCTTCCATATGCAAATACAATACTGCATAAGAACATGCTGTGGCAATACAGGCTCAAGTCTGAAACATTCAGAAAGTCTTTTCCTTTGGAGGACCAAAGCAATTCTTGGTACAGGTGGTGAGGTATGTGATCTACACAACTTACTTAAGTAGCTACATCATTAAAGTGTACAGGGAATGGAAGAGTTACAGCTAGGTGTAGAAGTGTGGACAGAAGTTGGTAGCTGAGCTGGCTTTTGTGATGTTTTACAGCTTTTGGTGATGAAACACTCTGCTATTTAGTACTACAATTCTTCTGCCTTTATTACTTAATCCACAAGCTAACACTGCAACTGGAAACTCCTCAGTTAAGATAATAACTTATGTTTTTGAAATGTGGGTGGGACAAGAGAACAGAGAAAGCTAAAGTGATCAAAGGATGGCAACTTCCAGCATCCTCCATGGACTTAAGCTATGCTATGTTCTCCAACAGGTCCTCATCATCACCTGAAATACTCAAAAAGGGACACTTTGGAGTCAAAATTTCAGTTATCAATCATATCATGGTTACTGTTTGACCCAGTGTGCTTCTAGCCGAAGCACAGGAGATAAAAGGGTGCATATGTGAAATACTGTCACCATCACTGTGTCCCAAAGTTCGCAGCCAGAACAAAGAAAGGCACTTGGTCAACCCAGTGTTCAGGCAGGAGGTCAGTTCTGTGAGGTGCCTTAAACTCCTACTGAACTAAATCTGAACCTCCTGAGAAACCTTTGATATCTCAGAAAGGGTATGGATCTGAATCCATAACAAAGACCTCCAATCTTTAAGTTCTGTTGGCCTCAAAGTTCTCTGCTGGCTGCTGCTGAGAATGAGGTGCTTCTAAGTGAGAAAATCCAGTGCTCACATTGTGTCCCACACTACTGTACCAATGAAAGACATCAGCTCCACTTCCCAGGCTCCCAGTAGAAGCAGATGTGCTTCCCATAAGACCCTCAATCTGTCATCCAGAAATAGCATCCCAGATCCACAATAAAATGCAAGAACTACACATACAGTTCACCAGGGGAAGGGGAAGGAAAATCTCCTGCAAACTTTTAAGAAAAACAAGACCCTGATCCATAAAGGTTTTTTGAGTTTGTCTCAGGCTGTGCAACCTAAATATTTGCAATGTTTCCCGTATTTTTACAAGAAATACTGCTAATACTGAGGGAATTTGAAACGCTTATCTAAGCCAAGAACAGAAAGTTTTTAGTGGCAACCAGTAATAATCACTTGCATGTAAATACAGAAAGCATTTTCCAATACGCCATGGACACAAGCACAGCTGCAGGTATCTGTCATTGGGCAGCCCCCTGCCACAGTCATACTGCAAATACAGCAATCAGAGAGGGGGACAGCACCTTTTCAGACATGCTGCACATTTATACAAGAGCACTTCTGATCTTGAAGGCACTGCTTTTAGTTTTTAATTCACTGGCTTCTGTGCTCATTTGTGCTACCTTCCACTAAGGTGCAAGACTGTGCAGATATGAGAGCAAGAAAGAGATCAGTTAAAAAGACAGAAATTCAATGGTGTTGCATCTAGCAAACAGGCAATGGTGAGCAGTAGTTAGATTCTCTCTTTTTTTTTTTTTAAAAAAAAATTTAAACTGAATTTAATTGTTAAAGTGTGGGTCTACAGAAATTCTGACAGAGAAAGACATTTGCCCAGAACTTCTCAGACGTCTTCCTCTTTTGAAACTACTGTCTTTGCTTCTGCTCAGGCAGAAAAAAAAAATCAGTTCTTCACATAGGAAGGTACAATTTCATGGTCTGTACTGTTCTTCAGTTAACTGCAAACACAGAATTCAACCAAGAATGCATGAAGTAGAGCTCTTTTTTCAAGTCTGCATATGCCAACCAAGTTCATATGGGCAAACAAGAAGCAAGAGTCCTACCTTGAACTTGAAAAATCTGCTTTCTCTTAAGCCATAAAACGCAGCTGCCATCAGAAACAGACCCAATTGCTTTTTCTTTTTCTCTTTCCAGGGCAAGCAAATCTATTTCCTGTTACAGCCTGTACTTAAAGTTTAATTCTATCTTATGACTTAAAGACTAAAATATTTGAGAACCACTGAGATTTTTCCACCCGTTTAAAAGGGGAAAAAATAAAACTAGAAACAGATGTTTTATAATGTATTTCATTTATTTTGGCCACCCATAAAGCTGTGGCTTATGTTAATGCCAACTAAGTTAAAAGCAACAGAGTTCTGCAATGCATTTTAGAATGACCGGGCATGGGAAGTACCTTTATATAAACTTCTATTTAGTAAGTAATTTTTTATGCCAGAAAATGGGCATAGGAATTACTGAAGATGCGAGTGGCACTGCCATACTTGGGTAGTATCCCTCCAGGGGGTGTGCAAAACTCTCCTACGTTGTTATACCCCAGTGCATAGCCTGGAAAGCAGTTGACCAATGTATATACAGGAAACAGATGGGTTGGATGAAATTTAAACAACTGAGGACAATGTCCTTAGAACAACACCATGTAAATAACAGTCAGTATGTTTATACTGCATCTCAAACAATTATTGCAGAGACATTTAACAGCGAAAGCGGAAGATTTTCTTCTTATTCATATTCATATTCTTATTCAAACAATCAGCAGACTTGGACTAGCACAAACCTTTCACTTTCTTCAGTGTTCATGATTGGAAGCAAAAGCATTTCAGAAGTGAAACTCATGGGGCTCCTCACAGCTGCAGTGGTACTTACTGATAAAGGTATCTTATGGAACTTAAGGTGAAAATAGTTACGTTGAAATTTCTCCTGTACCTATTCTTATTTAGACTGACAAATCACTGCTGAACAACAGACCCACTTTAGCAGAACACCTTCAGCAAAGTACTGCAGCTTAGGGACAGAAGGAGCAACAAAGAACAATTGGTCTCAAAATATTTCTTTATTGACAATTTGCTGCAAAAAACACCGGGCTTATAATGTGGATATGATTTACCCACCTGCCTAAAACATAGGAAAAGCATAAGGACAATGGCTGTATTTTAAGACAGAACATCATTAAGTTTTAAATAATTTTTTCTCAGCTTTTTTTCTCAGCTTGCTATCTGAATATTCAAAGAAAATATTTTCCCCTTTACTCCTCAGAAGAGATGCAAAAAAGTGAACTGCAGAAGTTAATTAGAAAGTAATAAAATATGAAAGCTTAGCAATTCAGTACAGCAACCAGCAGCACAGACTTTGACCACAACCACAGAAGCAGATTCTTAGAATAAGAGCTTCTAATACAAAATATCTTTTTAATTAAATATCAATACAATTATTTTAAGCTAATAATAAAATATGAACTTCATTATTATCAAACCAAGTGCAAATACAGAAAACTCACTTTAATTCAGGGGCAAGCTAAAAGCAGTTTAAAAGCAAAATATCCTTAAGAAGTATTTCTCCAGGCAAATCAGTTTATCCATCATTTGACACACTCATTTGAACTTGAAAAAGCCAGAAAGCTGAAAGTAGCTCCCCAATATGTTGACTGAGGATTGTAATTCATCTAAATTATGCAACTAGATTCCCACAGCTGGCCCACAGCTTGGCTTAGAGCTCAATTCAACGCCAATGATCCTGTCTGCTAATATTGTCCTACTCTCAGAGAAGGTAATACATTCAGCGACTCATATTGAAGTTCTGACACTAATTAACAGAACAAGCAAATGCTGACATGAGTGACAAACGCTGGTTCATAGTTACTGCGAGACCAGTGCTGCCAGCTGGCATTTTCTGTAACACTTTGCAGTAATGATCTCTTGTTTATTTCTTAGAACATTGCTTATAATTTGTTTGTATGCATTTTGTTTTCAGTTAGAAACAAACCGGGACACAAATGCAAAACCAGGAGCAGCAACGAGACCCCGATTCCCAGACAAGTAATCAACAAGAAAGCATGCAAGCAGCATCACCTGGGGGATGCATGGGGACCACAGTATAGGAATTCTTATCCTATATATAAGGCTATGTAGCTTTGCACAAACAGCCTTTGGCTTCTTGTCTCTGGCCTACCTGGACAGTAGCAAAACATGTTTATCAGATATACAAGCTCAGAACCTGAGCAGCAAGCAGTTAAAAACTGAAGGTCACTATGCTGCAAAATTAAAACATGCTTCTATGCTTTAGCAATACAGACAACGATAAAACAAAGCCTCCACAACCACCTGTAATAATATGCTTGTTCAGCCAGCAATTCCAAAGTACTCAGCAAGACAAGGTAGACATTTTCTGCAGCTGGTTTTACATGTACATTCCTGCCAAATTGTTGTCTCGTCTCCTCTTACCTTCACATTAGTCCGGAGTGCACAGTAACATGCAAAAAACATTGCAGTAAACAAGGAGCATATGGACCAGTATTCAGCGTCTCTGCTCTGCACAAACGGTACACACACGATCCCGAGCATGTGCTACTAAGGAGCATCCGTTCCCTCTGTCAGTTTGAAAATGCATTGATCTCTGTTTTTCTGACTACAAAAAGACATGTCTTGAAGGCACTGAGTGAAAGCTACATAGCTCTTCGTCGACTATATATAGCAAGATGCCCAGTAATTTCAATTAGCAGAGAATTCAGCAGCTGAAACTTGGACCTCAGTTGCTTTTCCTTCCAGCATTTTAAATTCGGGGGGAAAAAGGAGGGGGAACTCACCCAGAGGGGAAAGGTGAGGAATTAAAATGTAAGCAGCAAGTTGCTTATATTTCCCCCTGGCTTTGATGTCTTCTTTTCAATATTTTACAAACGTTATACATGGGAAATGAATAAAGGTTTCTCTGCCAATTCTGAAATTTACTGTAGATTCTGCACTGTTTCTGTCCGGTCTTGTTAAAGATGCAGCATCCCTTTTAAGAAAGACAACGTCATCAATCATGACAGATTCAACATGTTCTACTTACAAATACTGTCTCTGATTAAGGACAATGGCTGGCTGCCTTATTAACGTTTCCTCAAATGCAAGTTCAGTCCCCTGTGCTAATCTATTTTTAAATAAAAAGTCCCACCTACTCCTTCACTCTCATTTAATAAAAATGCAGTGGACTACTTCTAAAGATCCTGAATTGCATTGTGCTCCAAGCTGAGACTCTGGACATCGGTTCCAAACCACTGGCTTTCTTTCTGGGATTAGAAACACAGAGGGAAAATTAAAATCAAAGCAGAAAAATCCTGGAGATGGCTGTGCCCTCACATTTGTAACTACATATTCTGAATTTAAAATGCTGAGATATCTTCCAGAAGGAGGGAACTCAGAACCTAGCCAGAAGGCAAAGCTTTAATTCACATGCACAAAAATAAGATCAAACCACTTCTTTTACTCCTGTCAGCTGCTGGGATGCTACACGTTAACTGATTGTTTACTGGAATGCAGGGACTCAACTCTTTGTTTACAGCACTGGGAACCACCGATATTCGTACTGGATTATGAAGCAGCCTTCAGGAATAAAATCTGAGAAGAGCTTTTTTTTTTTCACCGCAGCAGATACTGTGGGAGGCAAAGAGTGGAAAAGGCTTTGCTACCTCCTTCTCCATCAGCACAGAGCAATTTGTGTAGGATAAGCGTAACTTAATAGAAATATCTGCAGTGACTTTCCGGATTTCTTTAAATAATGCTTTACATAAACCCCCGGAAACCTGCAGAAATACTGAAGTCCTATCAAAGTCGGTGGGTATCTTTTGTGGGCAATGAGGTGAAGAAGCTTAAACAGAAGGATGTGCACTGAAAGAAGAAAAGCGGGGGGAGGGGGAGAGACGGCAGGGTTTTTTCCAACATCTTCCCAAAGACAAGCTCTCAGAAACTGTCGTCAACTCCAAGCGAACAGCTATTTTTAGCCTGTCATTGTTTGTGCCTTTTTTTAGGAATGAAAAAAAGCAGCCGTGTTTGGAGCTAGATACTGCTCTATGATGTATTCTAAGTCAGCTACTTAATTTGATCCCCGGCTCCATCTGTCATACAAATTAAGTAATTAGTAATCACAACTGTCTTTGGCACAAGCAATGACTTCCAGAACAAAAGAGACGAACCCTCTTCTTAAATCTAATTCTGCAGCTTCTATTAGTAATTAAACTGGGGTCTATGTGCCACAGTTCAAAAAACCAGGATATCCCAAAGTTATGAGAGTTCATAATCCACCCAGTAAGCTAAAACAGAGCAATATATTGCTCTGCAAAGGCACGGAAGAATTAATTGATGGATTTTTCTGACTGTCTTCAAGTGAAGAGAAAGACATCATGGTGTATTTTGCTGTACAGTACATTAATGAATAAAATTTAGTATCCAAGTCACTGGAAAAAAAATATCACAGATCTTGGGGAATTGTGATCCACTGGAGAAATGCAATTCAAAAAGCAAAGATGAATAGATACACGGTCCCGAACAGCGAGACAAGACTCAGGCAAACATGTGGCTGCATGTGAAAATCAAATTCAAGTCTCTTTTCTGCCAAAGGAATTATGCAGGGTTTCAGTCAGCAAAATAACTTTCTACTTCATGATTCTAAAAAGTTGATGTTTTTGTATTTAGGCAAACAAACCCAATGTGAGGAAAATGGGGATCTGACAAATAGAAAGCAGAGCTGTGTAACTATATGACTCCCAAGCGGTAACCTGTATAAAAGACTTCAGATACATTTAGGAAAACAAGAAGTAATGCAGTCCCAGGGTCTTCACTCAGGATAATCTCTCATGACTTCTAACTGTCTGGGAGAAGAAGTTATCTAGGAAATTACAGAGCCTGGCCCTCATGACACCATACCAGTGAAAAGGGAAGACTCCCAGCCATGCCTCCTATAATAACCATGGGGCATTTGAGAATTTGATGAAAAATTGAAACCTCTGTACAAGCCAGCTAGGTATTACTTTGATAGCAGACCAACTTAACACTTTTAGCAGGGGCTACTTCAGGTAATGTACAAAAGCAGAGCCCTGAAGGATTTGCTCACCTGCCAAAACATAGAGTATTGAAGCAGTCTAATGTTTAAAGGCAGCGTTCTCATCAAGGAACATGCAGCATTTTATTATGACTAGTAGCTGCTCAAAAGCATCACATATTGGTGCTATTTTCTGCCCTTGACACACTGGCGATAACAGTGAGATAGGAACAACCTTGCCCGAGCTTGCCAGACTTGCCAGAAATAGCATTTCAGGTGCTCAGGTCCTCTTTAAACAGGAGACTACAGGGAAGAACCCCATGGATGAAAGAGGTTACTCCATTAGAAAGAAAATATAGGTCAGGCATGAAAACATTAGCGAGACAGTAGTCCAAAAGAGCCACTCTACACACCCTCTTTAAAAAGATCCGACTCACGACCTCAATATTCTTAGATGACAGAAACCGCTGGAGCCTTTATCTTGAGCTGTCAAATTTCACCTTTCTTTATACTCCTGTGCCAAAGAAGGGTAAAAGGCAGCACTTGCAAGGGAATCCTGCTGTCTGTGGAGCTTCAAAGGGAGCAGAAGCCTGTGCTGCCCTGATGGGCCTTGATCTCAGGAGGACACGAGGGCAAGTGAGGTGGGGACAGGCCTATAGCTGCAATTCAGTGGCAGCAGAATGAAAAAGCACTGTCACTGCCCAAAGAAGAGTGATAGGAACTAGTAGCAGTAGCAGTAGCAGTAGCAGTAGTAGTAGCAGTAGTAGTAGAGATGGCGTATTGCCATTATATGCTGATACTGTAGCCAAGGTTCCCCATTGTGATACAGTGTTATTCAAGGACAAAGAAAACAGTACGTGGAAGACGTCACAGAAAAACAAACTGTACTGGAGAATAATATTTTCATCCTTGGCAATCTAATAATTTTCGAGGTTGTTCCCAGGCGCTGTGGAAACAGGAATATTTTAGAGGAGAGGAACAATAAAAAGAGTAGACTTCTTCAGTATGCTGAAGAAAGTGATGCTCTCCAGTGTTTGCACCCCAGTGCAAAGTGCCTCACTACACTTAAGCAGCACATTTGTTGGTAAACATTATAAAATGCTTTTTAAAATCTTCCTGCAATGATGGGTGCATTTCTCTCTCTCTTTGCAGTGATGCTGGTGCAGCCATGGCACCATGGCTACAGTCATGCTCTATCACACCCTGCTTTTGCACACTGCAGTGATACCACCCATGCAGGACTCTAGCCCTGTATTGATTAAATACATCTGATTTCAGCACACGAGCTTTAAATTGCAAGGATTTTACTCCTTTCCCCATTTCCAAGATTTTAAACTGTCATGAAAATGTGATTTTCCACACCTACAGGTAGTTCATTATGCTAAAAATCTCTGCATCTGGGGATGGAATAGTAAAGAAAGCACTGATACAGACCACAGGTCTTGGGTGCTGTAGGGTCAATCGTTTAAGACAGAAAAATACAGCTGACTTCTAGAGTGGATTGAGCCTACGGGGCACCTGGAAACACATAAAGAAAGGAGACTCTGGATCAAAAGCTACAACTTGCAAGAACATTTTCTTAGGCTTTCCTTTCTAAACGCAACAGTAAATTTAGTAAAATGTAACAGACAGAGGAACTAAATCAGCATTTTGAGCTCTGAAAATCTTTAAACTTTCAGAAACAAAAAAAAAAGGCTGAAGCAAACTCCCCTTGCCAGTATTGTAAACATCTCTCTGGCACCCCGGCATTCTGAAGGAAAAGTTGCTGAGTCAAATTTTCTTCCTCTTTTTCAGGCCAGTAAATAGCAAAGATCTTCCCCTGGGCTCATTTAACTGAAGCCACAGCTTCCACCCTTGCACAGGGTGGACTATATCCTTTAATCCAGGACACTGATGAAGATGTTGAACAAGATCTGACCCAGCACTGACTCCTGGAGATCACTGCTAGTTATAGGCCTCCAACCAAACTCTGTGCTGCTGCTGCGGATCCTCTAAGCTCTGCCAGTCACCAGTTCCCAATCCACCTCACTTTTCATTTATCTATACCTCAGTTTCTTAGTGTCATATATTTGCTTTAACTGGGCCCTTATTCTTGTTATGAGAATATTTCCTTGAAGATTAACAGAAAGGTACCACCTTTTTTCCAAATGAGATGAATTTAGCCAAAAGCACCTGCTCTGTCTTGAATGTCTTTTAAATTTCCAACTACTGAGAGGTGTCATAAAGACCAGTGAAAGAACAGGAAAGATATGAAGCCCTGAAGTCTTCAGCTGTTAAGCACTGCAAGAGGAAATACATATTAAAACCTTGTCATCTAGGCACTGTCCATTTTAAACTTTCACCTTTGTAGGGTAAGACTGTCACCTTGATAGCAACATATGTACACAGATTGCCATTTATTCTGTATTATATATAAATGCATGAATTCACAGGTATATACGGTTATGCATGTCTGAAAAGTGAGAGACAGGATACCAAGAGTGAAAGAGGAAACGGAGATTCTTCACTGCTACTTCCTACAGAAATTAATATACGTGGTAGTTGGCCTTTATAATTGATATACATTGCCTAAGACTGTGTGGAT